TGTTTTGACTTTTCACTAAGCATCTGTTTTAGCAGTGCTTTTTCTTGTACATTAAGCTTCAGCACTGTGCATTTGTAGCACTGTAACTGGAGTCAATAAAGAGTAAACACCATGTGTAGAAGCTCTTAATTGGTATTTCACAGCCGTATTAGCAACTCTGTCCTCCACTTTGTCCTATCAAAAGCATACACTTAGGAATGGCAGGGCATTGCTATTGTCATACCTTATATCCAGTTCAAAGGAAGAATTCAATTTAGGTACTCGTCCTTCTTCCTCTGTGAAGAACATTAATTCCTAAATTTGTTGCAGGTTGGTTTTTTTTTTTCATTTCTTCTTCCTGTATCTTTCTTTAGAGAAAATGAAAACACCAGGGTATTCCACTGTAAACAGTATGCATCCTTTGCTTTTAATATTCATTCATTTCAAATGGATATATATGTTAAAATAAATTGCATTCTGCATGGGAATCTTAACCCCTTAATGCTGTCAGATATGGTGGGAGGCGGGTACTAGTACAGGCACTTGCTTCAGCTTCATTCTTTATTGATTGATTCCAGTTTCAGAAGAAAGAGGTCTGTATGGTCCTCTTGCCACTTGTAATTGGAGACCTACATCATCAGTGTGGTGGATCTCTGGTCACTTTCCTTGCTTTCCCTAAAGCATAATGTAAAACCTTCCACTGCTGGGCAGTTTGTCTTACTGTAACACTGCTGAGTCTTTCTTGCAGCCTGTGTCAAGGATTGAACTTTCCAAATTATGTATTTCAGACATTGAGAAAGAAAGGACTTAATGGCTGTGACAGTCCAGACCCCGATGCAGACGATTCAGTAGGTCACAGCCCTGAGTCTGAGGACAAGTACAGAAAAATTAATGAAGATATTGATCTAATGATCAGCAGGCAAAGATTATGTGTAAGTACTCTGAGCTCCCTTTCATTTTTTTTACTTTTTGATATTTCTCTGAACCTGGCAGGCATTGAACAAGAAAGAAAACAAAGGTTGTGAAAGCCCCGATCCTGACTCCTCTTACGCTCTCACCCCACGCACTGAAGAAAAATACAAAAAAATTAATGAAGAATTTGATAATATGATCAAGAGCCATAAAATACCTGTAAGTACCAAAGGTTAGATGGCTGTCTGCTGATAACTGCTGCAGTAACAAACCATAACCCTTTCAGTTCTGGCTTCTTAAGGAAAGCATTTCAGCTGGAAACAGGCTTTAATAGCCCAATATAAAATTAAACACTGTGGTCAGAAAATTTCACACAACATATTTTTCTTCCGAGTTTCTACCTCTGACACACAGACAAAGCCTACTATAGGTGAAACCTACAGAAGGAAGTGAAATACACATATATACATCATATTCACTTGATTTACAGAACTGTTTTACCACACCACTCGCCCAAATTCTATCTAAAAAATAACGATGGAAATCTTTCTTTGTGAACAGGCTAACAAACCCACAAAATACTTTCTGTGGTGATATAGAAAAAACAATGTAGAACTGAAATTCCTTTATATATAGTAATTAGTGCATTCTGTGCGTGTCACTTCACTTCTCAAGTGTCTCTGCTAAACTCAGTTGCAGCACTGAAGGGTTACAGCTACTTGCTCACTGCAGAGAAACAGACTGCATGAGAGCCTAATGGTAGGATTCAGACATGTTTGTGTGTTGGGGTGATTTTACAGCTTTATCAGAGAATTTGCTTTGACCTCATCAGCATTTCTTTAATGCTTTAACATGAGCTAAAATTTGTTTTAACCAAGTCAAAATTTCTAACCATCAGTCATATGCCTTGCCAGATATCTAAGAGAAATAACTCTGCATGTGCTATTTTGTTTGCACAAGACATACAAGGGGAGAATACTTTGTCATTATGTTTAATATTACATTTATAAAACCAACAAAAAGAATGTGGAGGTTTGGAGGTTATATTTGGCCCTTCTTCCAAATGTTTGCGGAAGAGAAAGTAGCAAACCAAAAATTTGCCCAGGTCCAAAGAAACATCTGAATTTGCATAGGTAACTGCTTGCTTCTAAAAGAGATCATTTGGATGTGTTCATTCCTCACTCCCACATGTAGGTCATGTTGTTAGCTGCCATAAAGGATGTCTGTATACCCAGAATGAGCTAAGTCTCTTCTGTAGTGCTAGTCAATTATGTTTTCAAAATCTGATACCTAAGCTGAGGATACCTTTCAAGGATGCTCAGATTCTGTCTCATGCAATGTAAGTGTTCTTTCCATTAATTCTCAGCAGAAAGATTTTCACTGAAGTAAATTAAAATTTGAAGAAGTTCTCACATCATGGCAAACGTATTTTTGCAAAAAAAATTTAAATAATAAAGATTTTCCCAGAGACGAGAATGGCACCAAATCTGATAAATTAGTATTTGGAATGGCTGGTTAAGGATGTCCAACATGTATATAAAATATCAGGGAAGAATACATATATGTTCCATCTTTCTTTACCTCCCTTTTTATTTGCTTCTAATAAAAAAAAAAATGCTCTAAAGCTGTCACTATGAATTTGGTCCTCCCTTTTTATTTGCTTCTAATAAAAAAAAAATGCTCTAAAGCTGTCACTATGAATTTGGTTTCTCAGGATGAAACTCAGTTTGACAAAAAATGACTGCAACATTTAGGGTGACTGTTATAAGCTGGAATGCTTAACCCTTTTTCATGTCAAAGTCTTACCAATTGCCATTCCTCTCCTCTTTCAAGTATGATCTTTGGCTTGTTCAAATCAAAGTGATGGAATGTTCAATCAGATAGTATTTAACCAAGCTACTTTTCCACCTTAAAAATTGTGTTTGGAATGGTCCTCCAGATCCTCTGTTTCTGTCATGCTACCTGTTTTTGTTCCAACAAAGCAGCACATGTTATAACCATTGGAAATCTTAAGGCATGAAAAAAACCTTGGAAAAAAAATCATTCCTGTGATAGTAAGTTCTATCACTTTCTTTACCTCCACAAGATTTGGGAAAATCATCTTTTCTATAAAACTTGGAAAGCTCTAGGAATTAGGAACAACACAGTTAATCTAAACATGGTACATCACTTTTGTCCTCCCAAAAATTAATGGACTTTCCCTCTGGTTGCTTTCATTAAATTTAAGCTTTTGCTGTCAAATATAGTCCTACTTCAACTATTAACTTGGTGATTAACTTGGTTTCCTGAGCTGTATTTTGGGTATAATGTAACTTCCTACCTTGCAGGGATGTTACAAGGTACAATGTATTATCTTTTTGTGAAATTACTTCAGAGATGCTTCAGAGATACAGAACTGCAAAATGTTAGCTTTTCTTTTCATGTAAGACAGGATATCCCTTCTTTGAATACTTCACATGCAGAGCTCAAGGGCTGTGTGCTCCATCAAGCTGCTTACCACAAAAGAAGAATCAGTAGGTGTTCTCCCCCAATGCAACAGGAGCTCCTTCTCTTATCATAAGCCGAGATGTAATGGGCAACATGGAGCCCAAAGCTAGTACATAATGGAAATTTGTAAATATAATGTATTTTTAATATACATATAATAAATTATATTATATACAATAATATCCCTAACTGTACAATTCAGTATAACTTCAGAGAAATCAGGGAAATTATACTTATTTACTTGTGCTCATCAAAGGTAGCCAAGAATGTTGGAGGGAAGAAAGCAAAATTGAACGAATTGAACGAATAGTCACCAAGTCAAGTCATTAAATCACTACTTACAAAATATATAAAACAATGCAATGCCTGTGCCTCGTCTTGTAACAGAATGAAGCCTCTGCCAAATGAAAACAAAATTGGCTTTTGCTCCTAACAGCTAAGGCCAATAATGTTTCCTCAGATAATTTTCTGGGTATAAGTATTTATATTGTTCTAAAACATCTGATAATAATTAGACATTTATTTGTAGTTTTCATAAGAGTGATGAAAGCAGAGGAGACAGAAATAGTCCACTAGAAGGGAGATATAAGTATCTCTGTCTCAAAATAAATGAAGGCCTGGTTGAACATGGGAAGGAGAAAACCAATATTTAACACAGAATGTTTGGTCCATTAATTTCCAAGGGTTTTGAGTCCCCAACACTTTGCTTTGCACAATATACCACAGCTTGTGGAGCACACATCTAACACAGTGTGTGCTGTACGCTGGCGGTTTCCTCTCAGGTGAGCCATCTGCCCTCTTTGGCAATTGTGTCCAAAGGGGAAAGGACAGAGAAAAAAAAAAAAAAAAAAGGAAAAATGGGGCAATTGGAAAAACAATAAGAGAAAGGCACAATCTTTTTTAGTAAATTAG